AAACCTTTTACCAAGTCTCAGTGGTGTTCTGCATGTGGGTTTATCTCTAAACCGATCATGACACTTTTCCTGTAGTTTTTCACCAGGTTTGCACACACTGCAGGAGGGATTTTGGCCCACTCCTCCACACAGATCTTCTCTGGATCAGTCAGGTTTCTGGGTTGTCACTGAGAAACACAGAGTTTGAGCTCCCTCCAAAGATTCTCTATTGGGTTTAAGATTTGGTGACTGGCCAGGCCACGCTCTTTGGTCTTTGGTCTTACTGCTTCCATGTGGACAGGTGTCTTTATGCACCTAATGACCTAACTGGTGCATCTAATTTAGACTGTCAGGTATTTGCAGCTTTATCATACAGTTAAAAAAACATATATTGTGATTTCTGGATTTTTTTTTTTTTTTTTAAGATATGTCTCATAGTGGACAATTTCAGACCCCTCTATGATTTCTAAGTGGGAGAACTTGCAAAATAGCTGGGTGTTCAAATACTTATTTCCTCTTTGTACATTTATGGCTTACATGATGGAATATGAGTCCCTCGTTGGCAGGTTTTGTGGTCGTCCAGTTATCCAGTATCTGTTTTACTGAGTTGTGAAAGAAAGTTGAAATGAAGAGTTTCGGTATCTGCATCACTCTGCCTTTAAGCTCATCAAATTCTGAGTCACTGTCTTCAAAAGTATAAGATGTTTGCGATGAGTCAGAAATTTCCTGCAAGCTTTGCACAAACTCTGAAGAGTCCGAGTCCCAATCGGAGTCGAAACCAGAGATGTTCACCAGGTCAGAGGTCGTATCAAAAATGTGTGAATCTAATCCAAATTGATCAGCAGCAGATGAGTCTGACTCATTCTCATGAGTGAAAACAGATTCCCAGTCTGAGCCCTCTCTGTCATCAGAGCTGGACGAGTCGTCCGAATGCTCAGACATGCAGGAGTCCAGCAGGCAGCAGGAGTCAGTGAACTGAGGAGGAGGAGGGATGATCTCAGCGGATAAAGTCGCCTTCAACCAGTCGATCTCCTGCACCCACAAACCTTGGATAACTGGAGGTTCATCCCCCTCCATCTTCTTCCGCCATCGAGATTTCCTGCGCTGTTTCCTGGGGAGGGATTGGTGAAATTCTTCATTCAAATCCTTATCATCAGAGTCGCATATTACGTCAGCATCCTCACTGGGAGATCTGGAGAGAAGCAGGAATTTCCAAGAGTAAATCAAATTCAAAACCTGGATCGATTTTTGTTCTTAATTAAAAATTCTAGCGCATTCTCCTCTGCATTCAGATTCTACTCTGTGGCACATTTTCAATTTACTTAATGTTTCACTAGTTTGAGTATTTTTCATTCCCATTCTCTCTATCAGTCCCTTTTCTCCTCAGTCTATTTGCACAACCTACAAGTTTTTCATATTAAACGCTTAACATCATCCAACTCTCAGAAAAATGTCAAGGTGTGCTTATAAGTTGATTTTACGGAAACCTTTGGATACATTAGATGCTATATCTGTCTTTTTATTTCTTATCTCATCTTCCAGTTTGTAAACCCTTTATTTCAACAATCTACCTCTAAATATCATTTTCACCGCCAAAAGAAGTTGCTCATCTTAGTCCTAGATCAGAAACGTAGGAACTTGAGGCTTGGCTGTATGAACTATAAATGGTTTCGCTCTGCAGAAGCATTAAGAAAATCAAAGAAAAGTTATTATTCATTACTCCACAGATTATTGTCTCCATTATCTGGAGTCTAATGCTTTAAACAAATGCATCTGAGCAGCAACATGTTCTTTCTTTATAGAGTGTCAGAGACGTGTATTATTTGCCACAGAATCCACCAACCCCACTCTGTGATTTTATGACCGAACTCTTAATTACTGTGTTTTGAATTGCCTCCACTATCTATGAAACTAGTTGGCTCAGAGATGAACTAACATCACAACTAGTCCTTAAACCTGAGGTGACGACCTATCAAGGCACCATGCCGCATTTCACTGAGTTCTAAAGAGTCTAACATTTTAGGTTTGCTGATGTGCAAATAATTTTGGCAACATAGATGTTGTGGAGCAAAGCACAGAATTTACTTTCATAGCTGGTATGACCAGAAGTGTCAAGTAACAAAGTACAAATACCTCTTTACCTTACTTAAAGGTATAGTGGAGGATGTTCATTTTCCGGGTAGATCTTTAAAATAAGTGGTTCTCCTAATTGTCAATCATTCAGGTGATATGTTTACGTAAGGCCATCCTACATGCTTATCCCCATTTTCACTTACCGAAGGTGAGTCTGAGATAGTGGAAAAATTGCAAATCTTCTTTTGGAAAGTAAGCGTGTCCGAGCAATGCAAACAGCAACTTTTAAATAGTTGAAATGGGCTCGTGCACGCTCTCACATGGGTTTAATAGCCGTTCTCTCTCGGGAGCGGGTGCAGAGTTGTGCATGTGCAATTTCTTTTTTTTAAGTGGAGAGGGCATCTTAAAAAATTTGCGAAAGTCCTCCACTACACCTTCAGGTAGAAATTTTGTGTATCTTTACTTTAGTGAATTACTTATTTTTTAGACAAATTTTTACTTACTTTATATGTTGTAGTTATTTTTACTTTCTACTCCTTACATTTAAAGCTACAGTGTGTAATTTTCAGCGACATCTAACGTCCA